TCCAGCAGAACCTGGAAGTGATCTCAGCATGCCAGGTGACGCTCTAGTATTCACCCAAAACTGTATGGTTAAACCGCGGAGTTTGGGCTAATGCTACACATCATAGTCACATCATGTGAATCGTCACCTCATGCCCAGTGTAATGACATCACTTCTGGGCCATGCCAGAAGAATCATCACTATGCCAGTCCTCAAACAGTAACCCCCCCCCAACCCCATCTCATACCGATTGCTAGGACATGCATGGCAACCCTACCTGGAAGGCCCACAACCAGAGACACAGGACATCTCATCATGCAGCACCCCCCACTAACTGTAAATCAGAGGTGTACTACCTTTGAACATGGAGGTTTCCTTTTACTATCATGGGTAATAGTCATTGATGAAGCTGCACCTCGTGAAACATGTCTAATCTCTTTTTAAAACCATCTAAACTAGTGACAATTATCACATCCTAAGCCACATGACCATGGAAATGTCTTCGGACAGCGGTGGCTCTTCGGCTTGGAAACAGAGATGAGCACCGCAACCCTGGAGTCGGATTCGACTGGCTTTCGAGCAAGGGAACATTTACCTTTACCTTTTTAAGTCAGTGAGTTCCACAGGTTAGTAAGTTTATTGGGGCTACACAACAGTCACAGAGCAGTAAGCTCATTTCTGAATTGCATAGAATACTTCTTCAGGCAGGTGGTTAAACAAGCAAAGCAGCAGGGGAGAGAAGAGAAACAGAAGCTGTTGGTAAAGGGGGGGGGGGGCAAAAGCCCTGCTTGGAAGATGCAGCCATCTTAAGATGATGACCCCCCCCAAAAAAAACCCCCTCTCTGCAATGTAAGTTTGTTTGGTGCAACCTGATATCTTAGGCACTCGGCACAAAGTATACTGCGATAAAGAAGCAACTGGCACCTCCCTGGGAAAAGATAAGGGCCGGCAATTACTCAGACCCATCTCCAGCGCTGGTCAGAACACGCAGGTATGACACAGAAGACAAACATGGCAGTCCTGATATTAGCGGAAATTAATTTTAGAGGGTGCAGCCAGTTATCCATCCAACATCAGGAAATGGAGGAGGCAG